CGTCGCTGTGACCCGGCGCCGGGGCCAGCCCCTGAGCCCGCTCGGTTCCTAGGAAACTGCGCGGTGCCGCCTGTTGTGTGCGCGCCTGGCCGGACAGCCCGGCTGCGGGAAGGGACCCGATCGCGGCGTTCGCTCCACCGTCCCCGTAAGTGCCTAGTCGGGGGAGCCGGAGACTGAGCTTGGGCTCGGCGACGCCGGAAGGGGGCCTTGGTGGGATGCGAGTGGGGGGGGCGCGGCCTGTAGAGTGGGTTCCTGGAGGAGCTGGCGGAGCGCAGGCCCGGCCCCGGGCGGAGGAGACCCCCAGCTGCTGCTGGGGAGGGGTCAGGGCTAGGACCTGTCAGGGATGGACAGCTGGGGGCCACCCGGGTGAGGTCCGTAGGGATTATCGCAGCACCGGGAGTCCCGGGACAGCATAACCTTATGGTGAGGGCGTCCTCTTGAAGGCATGAAGAAATGGAAAGCTGTCAAAATAAGCATAATTTAAAGTTGAAATGAAAGCTGGCAGATTTTCAGGCCGTGCAGTTGTGTAGCTAGTGTCCAAAGAAATGTTAGCTCCTTGACACCCTTTTCGTTTGGATTTCTTAGCAAAAATCTATTTGGTTAGTATTTCCCCCCAGGAGTTGTGCGTTGCCCGCAGCGGGGGAAGGAAAACTTCAGCAAGCGTTCTCGGGTTGCCTTTGACTTTAAGCCTGTGCTCTCCAGCTTTTTTCAATGTGCAGTAAGAGTACCTCTAGCTAGATTTTCCATGTAGGATACCGTCTCTTCTTCCCTGGCATCCGACGATATTTGTTTATTGGTTTTATAAGCATCTATTTAAATTTAGTAGTTGAACGAAATACTCCCCGTTGCCACAGGGTGTAGTTTAGGGATTAGAGAATACTGTTGGAGAAAGCTGCCAGTGGCTTCATTTTCCAAGAATGTAAGTCATTTCCTTTCTGTGATTTCAGAGAGTTGATATTTCACAGCATCAAAACTTTGTGGGGAAAATTTTCCGTAATGCATCTGTCATTAAAAAGGCTTTTGACTTTTGGATTTCTCTTCTTAGAGCAGGGCATAAACTTAGACTCAGCAATGTTAAAGAATAAGAAGTTTTTTTAGAATCTACAGCATTATTTCTACAGCCTACTGTAGAAAGTTAATTTTAACAACCCCAAGACCTACAAACTGCCTGCAGGGTAGAGTGGGGGAGGGGAGAAGACCAGCCGAGAGAGGCAGGAAAACCGATGCCTGTGCTGTTGTCCTTTGTAGTATAAAACTTATAGCACTTAATCATTTTCCTTGGGTGTGGTTTTGAGAAATAAAAGTATTATGTTAAAAATGAATAGTCCACAGTATGAGACAGCTGACATTTGAATGCTCTTTCAGTATGTTTGTAAACATACTGGATTTATATTTCATATTAAAATGGACTTCTGGAGTTATTAGATGAGAAGTGTCCCCCAGGGGATATCTACTATCGAGTTATCTGTGGAATATCTTTTCCAGAAAGCAGACTGGCTGTAATATGAACTAATTCTGCCCCCTTTGAATTGCTTGTAAGAGTGCCTGAGATCTGACACTGATGGACCACAGTAATCAGCAGTTCTTGCAGCGCTCCAGACATTTTAAGGGACAGGAAATCTTTCTCTGTTTCTACCCACTCCTTTTTGGGGGGTGACAGGGGTAAGCTGCCAGCTTCAAATACATAATTTGAACTTGTAGATTTAAGATGCTCTTGGATCTACAAGAAAACAGTGTGGGCCAGGATGAAGACCGCTGCTTTCGAAAGTGAAATGTCGATGTTCTGGGTAATAATTTTTAGCTACAAATTCTTTAAAAACTCATTCACCTAGGCTCGCTGAGTTAGGAGGTGGGGGGTGTTGTAGAGCTTCTTCTAGTTTCTGAACTCTGTTTCCACTTTTAACTACTCTTACAAAGCTTTTGGCTTTCAGAACGTATGACATAGTAGACTGTGTAGCCTTTTGTGGCGGATGCTTGAAATGAGAGTTTCAAACAGAATTGTTTTTGACTGAGCTGTCAGATTCAGAATTTAGTGTAAATGAGTCCCATCTAACAACTAACTTTTTTGATAAAGGAATTCTTTGTAGTTTTCAACTTGGATGTTGCACATTTTGATTTCTAAGGCTATGGGTTTAAAAAAATAGAATCTGCAAACAATTATTTTATTACATGAAAGCCAGTACCAAGAAAAGATTAATTCAGTCCAGATGTAAAAATGTATGTGAATTTTAGATTTGGATGATCTCAACAAGTTTTCCCTTTTGTTGAGGAGGCTGCCTGGATCCCAGATGGCATTCACAAGTTATCCCTTAGGTGGTTTCTGAGTTCAGAACTAAATTTCACCAGCCTTCTCTAAAGTCATTTTAATGCTGTCTTAAGTCTTCTAAAGGGTAGAAAGTTTTCTGCATTTATACAGGGATGGATTTTTTTCCTGTTACTCATTAATACCAACCTCATAAATGCCCTGGTTTGATAGATGAAGCCTATGGGGAAACTAGAGTTATTCAGTATTGTGTATCCTTTTTTTTTTTTGATGAAGAGGTACAAACCTCCAGTTAAAACTATCCTGTATCCTTACGGGCAAAGCACAGAAGCTTTGGCCTATGTTCATACAATTCAAGCTTTTTTCTTTTAAAGAAAAGAAAGTTTTAAATGTGTTTACAGTCTTCAGTAGAATCCGGTTGTAACACAGTTTGTGGTGATAACAGCAATTGGTCCTCTACAGTGATGATCCTCTACCCTCCTTCTTACTGAGAAACAAGAAACACAACTTCTAAGAAACATCCAGTATATTTTTAAAACCTGTACTCCCAATACCAGAGTTCTAAAGGGTGTGTGTTACACGCTTAAAATGATATATTTTAGGAAGCTTTTGTATGATTTTATAATTATGTATTTTGGATACTTGATGACATTGTGACTGTGTATAAAACAATCTAGTGTAAGAGTAGGGAAAGGAAAGATTTAGAGAAGGAATTTATGAGTGGTGAAACTTCAGTTAAAATGTATCTTTCCTGAGACCCAAACAGGAAAAACGGTATTGTTGGCCTCTGTAGTTAAACTTGGATATAGAGATAGTTGAGAGGGCTGTTTGAATTGCACATTATCCTGAGGAAGAGGCTTTGGGGGCCTATAAAAATAAGTAGAAACAAGTTAAAAAGATAGTTTGAGAGGAAGGAAGAAATAGAGTACTGGACACTGAATTGCAAGGAAAATATAAACTTAGAAAGATGAGTATTGGGAACAAGGCTGATGTAGGGAGAGCTTTCTATTTAAAAGTAGGAATTAAAGAGTAAGATCTTTTTAGCTGAGGAAAAAGAATTGGGATTAATGTGCCCTATAAGGTCTTCATACAATATGAAATAGTGCTAAGTGATATTTATCGTGGAAACCTTGCATTGAATCACTAATTTGGTGTTAAAGAATGTTCAGGGACTTGATGCTTATTACTGTCCTTACCACCCCTGCCCCCGCCACTTCCCATTTCAAAGACTGGAAACATTTTTTTGTTGAAGCTCTGTTGATTTGAGAAATATTTAATTAGTCCCCCAGCATTTGGGAGAACTGCTGATGCCTGCCTACCATGCTGTGGGACCAGAGGGGCTGAAGTTATCATAGAGTTTTGAGTAAAAACAAACAATCTGTGCTTCCAGTTATCTTGTATGACTTAGTGGTGTAATTACTTCTGATGCAGGTTTGTCTGCTATCACTTTTCATATGTATCAAATGGAGCAGTCGTGCACTCTATCGTATTGATCAAAGAGGGCCCATAGCATACTGGGGAGGGGAAAGAAATCAGTGATCTGACAGCTGGTTGTATAATCTAAGGAGGAGAAAAATGTGATGCTGAAACAAATTCACAGCTGAACCAAATATAGGACAAACAAGGAGGCAGTGTTTACTCGGCTTCCTTGGAGTTGTCTGGAGCACAGCATTTTCTGGGATGTCTTTCCCCACCTGTATGACCTTACGTAGCAGAGCTTAAGCTTTATAGCAAGAAACTAGGTAGAGATTTCGTCATTATCCAGGTCATTCCATTAATGTGATCATGGGGATAATTCTGACCCAAAGTGCCTATTTAGAGCCTCAATATTCCAAATAGATTATCCTGGGATATTTTCAGGTGTTTTCTAATAACTTTGCCTTTGTACATATATGTTATAGAACTTTGAGCAGTAATTTTTTACCGACATAAAAAGACAGAAAAGCAGTATTTTATACTAACATAGCTGCAGTTTCACATGAGGGA